GTTTAGTCGAGGACCGCATATCTTGCAAGGCTTTAATCTTTTCAGGGTTAGCCTCTATCCCCCGGTTGCTAACCATGAAACCAAGGAACTTCCCTGACCCAACTCCAAAGGCGCATTTTTAGGGACTTAGTTTCATGTGGTATTTTCTTAATACACCAAACATTTCACCCAAGTGGTCGACGTGTTGGTTGGCCCTGGTACTTTTCACAAGCATGTCATCAACGTAGACTTCCATTGATTTGCCGAGCTGCTGAGTGAACATCTTATTCACGAGCCTTTGGTAGGTAGCCCATGCGTTCTTTAAGCCAAAAGGCATTACCTTATAGCAACAGAGACCCCTGTCGGTTATGAAGGATGTATGCTCCTCGTCGGCTGAATGCATGGGGATCTGGTTATACCCAAAGTAGGCAGCCATGAAACTTAGTATTTCATGCCCTACTGTGGTGTCGACCATCTAGTCTATTCGAGGGAGTGGAAAGCCGTCCTTCGGGCAGGCCTTATTGAGATCGCTGAATTTGACGCATGTCCTCCAGCTTCCATTAGGCTTGACCACCAAAATGGGGTTCGAGACCCAACGCGGGTAATGGGCCTCCCTGATGAACCCATTGTTGATCAACTTATCGACCTCCTCTTTCAGCGCCTCATACCTCTCTGGGTTCATTGGTCGACACTTCTGGCGCTTGGGAGGATATGAGGGGTCAACGTTAAGGGAGTGCCATATAACCTTGGCGTCGATCCCTTTCATGTCGGCATGGTTACAGGCGAAGACGTCTAAGTTCTTTTTGAGGAAGTCTTCAACCTCAATCTTGAGTGAAGGGGCTAAGCCCGAGCCCATTTTTAGTACTTTGGTTGGCTCGCCTTCATCAACTCAGATTTCCACCAATTGCTCAATGGATTAGGACCAGGTGACCTCTTCTTGAACCCTGGGATCTATGTCTTCAACAGTGTTTTGATAGACCATCCTGGCCTCCTGTCGCCTTGGCTGGTCGTATCCACGAAGGGCATCGGAGTATGCAACCCTAGCTTTGTACTGGTTGCTCTTCATCTCAGCTACGCCGTTTGGGGTAGGGAACTTGACCTTCTGGTGGTAGACAGAGGTTATTGCCCTTAGCGCCTGAAGGGTCGGTCTCCCGATTATAGCATTGTACTGAGAGCCCCCCTTTATTACCACAAAGTTGGCCATTGTCGTGGTCTGTCGGGGTTTTTCTCCGGCGGTTATGGGCAACCGGATAGTCCCCTGATGGATGACGGAGTCCCCGGTGAAACCGTATAATGGCCTAGAGGTCTTTTCCAACTGCTCCTTTCGGATCCCCATCTTTTCCAAGCATTCAGAGTAAAGGAGATCCACCGAGCTCCCATTGTCTACCAGGATTCGGCATACAGTGTGGTTCCCAATCATGGCTTCCACTACTAATGCGTCGTTGTGGGGGAAGTGAACTCCGCTGGCGTCGTCCTCGTTAAACGCCACATCGGCACTGCTATATCGTGGGGTTTTTACAGTAGAAACACTCCAGAATCTTTCCTGGTAAACCCCTCTGGCCTCATGGGCGTAATCCTTCTGGGATCTCCTTGAGTCTCCTCCTATATAGGGGCCGCCGAGGACTATTCGTATGACGCCGACAGGTTCTCGGTCCTCGGGACGTTGGTTCTCCTCTCGGCGTCGACCGTCATTCTGCCCACTGTGGCCATCGTTTCGAGGTCTCCGTTCAGCTTTGAACTCCTGTAGCCTTCCCTCGCAGATTACTCTTTCAATTTCATCCTTGAGGTCGGCGCAATCGTTGGTGTGGTGGCCAACATCGCCGACCTAATTGAAGACCTCCTCGACTCCTACTATCAGTTCGTGGTAGGAATCGTATCTTTGAAATAGCCGAGGCTTACGGTTCTCCTCTTGTCTTGGCTTCTGGAGTACTCGACGTCGCAGCTAGCTGCTTGTCTCCGCTTCCTCCACCTCGACGCTTCTTCCCATCCTGCTTTGCTGGCGTCGACCCTTGTTCGGTCCCTTTATTCTTGTTGGACCTGTGGTCGGGGTCGTTTGCGTCTACCTCCTCGGCGTTGATGTATCCTTGCACTCGCACAAGAAATTCCTTGTAGCTAGATGGGGGCTTTCGGTTCAGCTCTCTTTTGAAGGGGGTGATTTTCTTCATACTAGATAATGCCCCCATCAAGGCCTCTCTGTCAATTATGTCCATCGTGGCGGCGACAGCTTCCCCATACCTTGCAAGTCATTCTCTCAATGACTCGTTCGGCTTTTGGTATATCGTCGTTAGGTTCTGCTTTCGTGGGACATATTTCTTAACCCCTATGAATTGGAGGGAAAACGATTCCCTTAACTCATCCCAGCTTGAGATAGAATTTGGCCTCAGCGTCCGAAACCATCTTCGGGCAGAGTCCGTTAAATGGTTCCGGAAGGCTTGGCACATAATTTCCTCGGCGTACCCGTGTAAGAGCATGTGCCCTGTGTACATTTCTAAATGATCGTCGGGATCCCCTCGACCATCATATGGTGGGATCGACGGTGACCTGTATTTGTCGGGGAGAGGTGGCGCCATTATCTCTTCGGTAAATGGGTGGTCATGTGTGTGGCTAGGTGTGATATCGACGTT